GGGCTTGAACCTCCGACCTTGTGGTTAACAGCCACACGCTCTAACCAACTGAGCTACTCCAGCTAACAGCAAAAATTTCAATGTACTGCTATTTAGAAGATCATATTAACAAGCAATTTACTGAATACTGTATATTACAAGTATGTAGTATTTAGATACAATTCATTCGAACAAACACAATACTGCATTCATTAAAGCAAGTATAAAAATTATAGATGACTTATTGGGGGTGTTTCTTAGATTCTCGTTTTATCTTCAATATTCTTCCATTGGAAAATAACTAGATCAGAGATAGGAGTGACGTTTACACATGCCCAAGGCACAATTTTGATTTACATGAAGTATACGAACAGTAAAGGCAAAGCTACATGGTTAAAACATTCAAACCCAAAAACACATGAAATAGAAATACACATCAAGAAGACAAATTAACTTAGGGCTTATTCGGAATGCATGATTGAAAAAATATAGGAATAGAAAAATCATAGGAATATGATAAGATTGTACTAATAAAACAGAGAATTGAAAAACACAAGAATGCTATATAAACATGCGTTCGGATAGAGCGTAAAAAAATATATGAATTTTTAAAGAACTTACCCACTAACTTAAAATATTCATGTGTTAGAGGAGTGAAGATTAGTTTGTTGATTGCCGCGTTCCCATGCATAGGAAAAATAAAAAAGAGCTCGCAGTGGATTGTTAGTTTTCATGTGGAATGGATGGCCAAGGAAATTTTCCTTCAGATTTCCTCCGATTTTCTTACAAGTGATTCCTTTGATCCGAATGCTGCTACAGTACCCAAATCCATAGGAATGCAAATCCTATATTTTTTCCTGAGTTGACCCTCCAATCCGAATAAGCCCTTAGTGTGATAGGGTGTTTTCTTGAAATATATTCCCACCATTCCCAAAAAACATGTGTCTTGGGGACTTGGATCTTGTACAATTTATATTTTACTCTGTACACATTAATCACAATTTTTTTAATAATAAATATTGAGAAAAAAACATGAATGCATATTTTTATCGAGAATCTACCACCATCATATTCACAAGAGTCGTAATTCAGCATATCTATATGAAAACATGGATATCTCAAGGAAACATGCCTCCACAATAAAAACTATCTTTTAACTTTTCAGAAACTCCAATAAAAGATGCTGACGATTTGATTTGATCATAAACGACTAGAAAAATTTTAAAAATTTTTTTATTGGAAAATGGATTATAAAATATGCAATATTTTTCTGTTTTATAGTGAATACAGATCTATGTTATTTTCTAGTAGCTGATCTTAAAAAGAAAATTATTTTCTATTAGAAAATGTATTATAAAATATGTAGTATTTTATTTTCTATTCGAAAATGGATTATAAAATATGTAGTATTTTCTGTTTTATAGTGAATACATATCTATGTTAGCTGATCTTAAAAAGAAAATAAACTTATAGTAGCTGATCTTAAAAAGAAAATTATTTTCTATTAGAAAATGGATGTGATCTTAAAAAGAGAATAAGCTTATAGTAGCTGATCTTAAAAATTTAAAAGAAAATTATTTTCTATTAGAAAATAAAATGGATGCGATCATAAAAAGAAAAATAAGCTTACAGTAGCTGATCTTAAAAAATTAAAATAAAATTATTTTCTATTAGAAAATGGATTAAAAAGAAATTATTTTCTATTAGAAAATAAATTGGATGTGATCTTAAAAAGAATATAAGCTTATAGTAGCTCATCTTAAAAATTAAAAAGAAAATTATTTTCTTTCTATTGGAAAATGGATTAAAAATAAAATAAGCGTCATCTTAAAAATTAAAAATAAAATTATTTTCTTTTTAGTAGAAAATGGATTAAAAATTATAGTAGCTGATCTTAAAAATTAAAAACAAAATTATTTTCTTTCTATTATAAAATGGATTAAAAAAATAAAATTATTTTCTTCCTATTAGAAAATGGATTAAAAAGAAAATAAGCGATAGAGGTAGTTATTTTCTTTCTATTAGAATTGTTTTCTTTCTATTAGAAAATGGATTAAAAAGAAAATAAAATTATTTTCTTTCTATTAGAAAGTGGATTAAAAATTGTTATTTTATTTCTATTAGAAAATGGATTAAAAAGAATATAACCGTTGGATTAAAAAGAAAATAAAATTATTTTCTTTCTATTAGAAAATGGATTAAAAAGGGTTATTTTATTTCTATTAGAAAATGTATTAAAAAGAATATAAGCGCTGGATTAAAAAGAAAATAAATATAAGCGCTGGATTAAAAAGAAAATTTATTTTCTTCATATTAGAAAATGGATTCAAAAGAAGAAAATAAATATAAGCGCTGGATTAAAAAGAAAATAAAATTATTTTCTTTCTATTAGAAAATGGAAAATTAAATTATTTTATTTCTATTAGAAAATGGATTAAAAAGAATATAATCGTTGGATTAAAAAGAAAATAAAATTATTTTCTTTCTATTAGAAAATGGATTAAAAAGGGTTATTTTCTTTCTATTAGAAAATGTATTAAAAAGAATATAAGCGCTGGATTAAAAAGAAAATAAATATAAGCGCTGGATTAAAAAGAAAATTTATTTTCTTCATATTAGAAAATGGATTCAAAAGAAGAAAATAAATATAAGCGCTGGATTAAAAAGAAAATAAAATTATTTTCTTTCTATTAGAAAATGGAAAATTAAATTATTTTCTTTCTATTAGAAAATGGATTAAAAAGAAGAAAATAAATATAAGCGCTGGATTAAAATGGAAAATAAAATTATTTTCTTTCTATTAGAAAATGGATTAGAAAGAAGAAAATAAATATAAGCGCTGGATTAAAAAGAAAATAATTTTATTTTCTTTCTATTAGAAAATGGATTGAAAAAGAAGAAAATAAATATAAGCGCTGGATTAAAAAGAAAATAAACATAAGCGCTGGATTAAAAAGAAAATAAAATTATTTTCTTTCTATTAGAAAATGGATTAAAAAGAATATAATCGCTGGATTAAAAAGAAAATAAATATAAGCACTGGATTAAAAAGAAAATAAAATTATTTTCTTTCTATTAGAAAATGGATTCAAAAGAAGAAAATAAATATAAGCGCTGGATTAAAAAGAAAATAAAATTATTTTCTTTCTATTAGAAAATGGATTGAAAAGAAGAAAATAAATATAAGCGCTGGATTAAAAAGAAAATAAACATAAGCGCTGGATTAAAAACAAAATAAAATTATTTTCTTTCTACTAGAAAATGGATTAAAAAGAATATGATTAATAAAACAGAAAATGGATTAAAAATAGTTATTTTCTTTCTATTAGAAAATGGATTAAAAAGAATATAAGCGCTGGATTAAAAAGAAAATAAATATAAGCGCTGGATTAAAAAGAAAATCAAATTATTTTATTTCTATTAGAAAATGGAAAATTAAATTATCTTCTTTCTATTAGAAAATAGATTAAAAAGAAGAAAATAAATATAAGCGCTGGATTAAAATGGAAAATAAAATTATTTTCTTTCTATTAGAAAATGGAATAGAAAGAATAAAATAAATATAAGCGCTGGATTAAAAAGAAAATAAAATTATTAAAATTATTTTCTTTCTATTAGAAAATGGATTAGAAAGAAGAAAATAAATATAAGCGCTGGATTAAAAAGAAAATAAAATTATTAGAAAGAAGGAAATAAATATAAGCGCTGGATTAAAAAGAAAATAAAATTATAAGCGCTGGATTAAAATGGAAAATAAAATTATTTTCTTTCTATTAGAAAATGGAATAGAAAGAAGAAAATAAATATAAGCGCTGGATTAGAAAGAAAATAAAATTATTAAAATTATTTTCTTTCTATTAGAAATGGATTAGAAAGAAGAATATAAATATAAGCGCTGGATTAAAAAGAAAATAAAATTATTAGAAAGAAGGAAATAAATATAAGCGCTGGATTAAAAAGAAAATAAAATTATTTTCTTTCTATTAGAAAATGGTTTAAAAGGAATATAAACGCTAGAGAGAGGGCTTGAACCTCCGACCTTGTGGTTAACAGCCACACGCTCTAACCAACTGAGCTACTCCAGCTGTGTGATAAATGATTGAACTACTTAAGGTGTGTGATAAATAATTGAACTACTTATTATCGCACTTAAACACAATCAACTACTCTAGCTGGTCAAATGCAATTAATACTCCTGACAGCTAACTAATCAAAAACTGCATCACTGGTGATACAATCTATCAGCTAACTTCACTTGATCTTCATTGTGTTAAGATATGAACTCTCTGCTTTGGTCTACTACTTTTGTATAAGTGGTGCATTATCTGATTGTCATCATGACTGTAAGACATCACCATGTTTGTAATTCAGTTCCTCGATTTCATCTGTAACAAACAAAACCAGCATATCTGTAGTGCAGTAAGCAGATCTGTAGTGCAGTAAGCAGTGTAAGACATCACCATGTTTGTAATTCAGTTCCTCGATTTTATCTGTAACAAACAAAACCAGCATATCTGTAGTGCAGTAAGCAGTGTAAGACATCACCATGTTTGTAATTCAGTTCCTCGATTTTATCTGTAACAAACAAAACCAGCATATCTGTAGTGCAGTAAGCAGATCTGTAGTGCAGTAAGCAGATAATATGTCATGGCATCCATGTTTTTCCACAGGTTTCTCTAATACTATTTACAATGAGGGTTACCAGAGGCTTTATCGTTATGCAGTATGGACTTACACAGACATACTTCAAATGAAATTGTCATGAAAAAAAAACTTAGTTTGAAACATCATAGCTGCGCTTAAAATCACCCCTACTTCAGTTACACCTAAGTTCAGCATTGTCAAACTTGTGCACAGGAGACAGGGCATCAACTTGCAGTGGGCAAAACTTAAAAGAGAACATAGTAGAAAGCTACAAGCTATGGATACGTATCATTCCCAAACTGTTGGGACTCCCAAACTTAAAAGTAATCAATGTCTTCCCTGAAAATTTCAACCAGCAAATAGCCAAATAGCTACGGTTGGGACATCCAAAACCTCAGAAGTTCAATGAACAATTAACAAAAGTTCAAAGTACTTTTATTGGCAACAGAGTGAACAGACTGCATATAATGCATCTGATTGCATGGATTCGTTCAGGAAGAAAATATATCAACGTTTTGAAAGCGATGTCGTAACAAGTTAACAACCCGTTTATACTCGGTACGGCTGATCCACCAAGTCATGTGTTGGTGGCATTAGTTCTATTTGGCGAAAGAACCACTACCAAGATTTCTCTCAAGGGTCGAGCTCTTCTGCCAATTCTCGACTGCTCGCCTTACTACAGCTTGGGCATTGCGGATCTCTGCATCAGTGAATTTGTGCTCCACAATCCCTATCGGTCCTGGCTGTAGAACGTTTATCACTGTCTCAACATCTTGCTCCATCTGCCTGAGAAGTTGCCATCAAGGAAGCAATTAAAACACAACCTAATTCCATGGCAAAGTTGGATATCTGAATATACAAATGCAGCCTACAAATTACACTCAGTACAAGATTGCCGAAAATTTGCAGCTAATACCTACCTAAAAAGTTGCGGCAACCTTTGAGGTAACAGCCTGAGGAAAGACATCACGCTAATCTTCTTAATTCAGATTGATTCCTGCGATATATATAAAAAGAAGTAAGAAGTGGTGGATCTAACATAGGACAGGGGGTTCAGTTGAATCCCCAAATATAAGTATTAAGGTTAATGCAAATTTCAAAGAACAGAAGCTAAGGTTAACGCAAATAGGAGAAAAAAAGTGAGTGGGTAGAGGATCCAGGAATTTTATTTATTTTTTTTTTTTTGGGGGGGTGGGGGGGGGGGTGGGGGTGGGGGGGTCAACATACGGGGAACACACATTATGTCTCATACTATTACAATACCATAATATTATGTTGTACTCTAAAGAAGTTTCATATAGAAACAAAGAAAAAAAAGAGAAATACATCACAACTTCACAAGACAACTGATTATTTTTCACGCGTGACGCAAATTATCCTTCATGAGGAGCATTCTGTACAAGAGAGTATGAGAAAGCAAATGTTCTTTTCGACATGCTGCGATTCTAGTCTAGACAAACAACATGAAACTGTGCTAAATTGCTAATGGATTGAAGTATTGAATCATTCCAAATTTCCACTTAAGTAATCTCTGATTCACAGTAGCATAAATTGCATTGCATATATTTGCATAAACTGATAAAAGTGATAAGCATACCTTTGTTTAGATGTTTTGTAGCCGCCGGCCTGCTGCTGGCCTATTGCTCTGCCTGGTCAGGAGCAGATCCTGGTCACGCGCGCTCCCGTGGCGTCGCCGGCGGCCGGCCGCCTGTCTGCAACCTGCTCGGCTGCTCTTGCTCGCGGACGCGCCGTCACCCGTGCTCCGCTGCTTGCCTGCTCACCGCTGGCGCCGCCGGCCCCCCGCGCTGCTCGCCTCTTGCGCCGCCGGCGTCGGGGAACTAGGGATTTGGGGTGGGGATTGAGTTAGGTAGTTGGGCTGGGGGCTACATGTGGGCCTACGGCCTATTTTTTCTAAGTGAGTTGTGAAAGCCCAATAGCGTCCGCCTGGCCCAATTTTCGTTCGCCGGCCCAATTTTGTGCTTTCCATACCGATTTTGCTATAAATCTGGCGATAAATTTCTTCCTCAAAATTTGTCGATTTTTGAACCGTTTGATAAACCTACTTTCGTTTCTTTCGACGTCCGCAGGCCACAGGGGCAGTTCATTCATGCGTAGTAGAGATGACAGACGAAGGGCAGACATAAAGTGGCACAGGGCATAGCCGAACATGTCCTCGTTTAATATTTCATGGCATGCATGAATGATGGCCAAGCACTGTATGCTGGTAGATGACGGCAAGCATTAGTTCGATGGCATGCCGCATGCACAAGTTCAGCCTGCATGCTCCGCACGCATCGTCCAAACAGACTTTGCGAGTTCATGATCCCTCTTTGGCGTGAGCACTGTCCAAGCGGAAGTTTTCTAAAGTTATATCTTACTTACATGCAGTTATATTGCAGTTACAGTGTAATTATATATAAGTAACAGTTTTATTATATTGTAGTTACAATGTAATTATATGTAAGTTACAATGTAATTACACTACAATTATATTTGACAGATTTTTAGAAGAAAATTTGTCGACAAATGTATAGATAGTCCCGACCTTCAGCACCCCGGAAAAGCTAACGAGTGCGCGCGCCGGCGACGTGCGTTTCGGGCCCAGAACTTTTTTTTCATTTTTTTTAGTGATTTCTCCGTTTTTTTCCACTTTTTTCTGATTATATTTTTAATCTTTTAGCATGTTTTGAGTTTGAAAGTTTTTAAATTTTGAGTTGAAAATTTTCAAATCAGAACTTGAAAGTTTTCGAATCTCGAGTTGAAAGTTTTCGAATCTCGATTTGAAAGTTTTCGAATCTCGAGTTGAAAGTTTTCAAATCTCGAGTTGAAAGTTTTCAAATTTTTCAAATCTGGATTTGAAAGTTTTCGAATATCGATTCTCGAGTTGAAAGTTTTTGAATCTGAGTTGAAAGTTTTCAAATCTCAAGTTGAAAGTTTTCAAATCTGAGATGAAAGTTTTCGAATTTCGATTCTCGAGTTGAAAGTTGTCAAAATCTCGAGTTAAAAGTTTTTAAAATCTCGAGTTGAAAGTTTTCAAACCCTAGTTGAAAGTTTTCAAATTTTGATTTTAAATATTCAAATTTCGAGTTGAAAGTTTTTTCAAATCTAGATTGAAAGTTTTCAAATTTGAATTGGAAATTTTCAAATTAAAGTTGAAAGTTATCAAAAAAATCTTGATTTGAAAGTTTTCAAATCCACATTTAAAGTTTCAAATTTCAACATGAAAGTTTTCAAATGTTAATTGAATTATTTTTTAAAAGAAATACTACTACTAAAATTACACTTATAACTAATTAGTGTCATTAACCGTTAATCCTATACACTAAGCAGGATGGGGCGCGCGCGCGAGCAAGCCAGCCGGCGCGCACGCGCCCATTAGGAGCCCCCTCAGCACCCTCTACTCTATCATGGTGAATTTTTTGAAGGGGGGCTCAGGGGGTGCTCTGGTTCGGTGGGTGTAGGGGGGGACTCCTGCACCCACGTTGAATCCATCCCTGGGAAAGAGGATGCGGCGGAAGCAGCAGGACGAGCGACGGCGACCCTGCTCGCGCGATGGATGGGGATCGGCATAGGCGGCGGTGGCGGAGGATGTGCTCACCAGGATGGATGCGGTAGGACGAATGATGCTCGCTCGCTGGATGGATGGGGATCAGCGGCGGAGGCGGTGCGCAAGGGGAAAGTGACGAGGACGAGGGGTTACGGTCACTCATTTCTTAACTTAGGGCATATTTTTCATATAAGCATATTTTTCTCGGAAATAATAACCGAAAACTGAATAATACTAACGAAAACATGTCGGTGCAAATCGGAAACCAGTAGCAAATAAAAAACATTAAACTATAAAAGAAAATATTTAACTTAGCATAACTACGTAATACGTATAAATAAATTCAAGCTTATACTATACAAATTATAAATTAGAGTAAATTTTACAAAACTACGGATACTTCGGTAAAATTATCAGAAAACTATAGATTTAACATGATGTATCACAAAACTACAGATTTAAGGTTAAGGTAAATTATAGCAAGACTACAGATTTAGTAACAAAGTTATCACACAACTACAAGTTTAATATCAATTTAATCAAAAAAGTTAGACATTTATAACTCAAACACAAAGGATTTAAAACCCCAAATCTATAGTTTTATGATAATTTTATCATTAAATATGTAGTTTTGTTATACTTAGTCTTAAACCTATAGTTTTGTAATAAATTTGTTGCTAAATTTTTAGTTCTATGATATATGACCTTAAATTTGTAGTTTTACGTTAATTTGGTCAAAGTAAGTTTTGTGAAATTTACTTTATAAATTAACTTCATTCAGCCATGCACTCAAGTTAGGGATTTGTTTGAAAAGTTAACTAATCTTTAAACTGTGGATCAAGTAGAGACATACCCTATAAATATCGACATGTTTAGAAATACGGTAATTACCATATTTTAAAAAGCGATAATTTTCACAAGAATATGTAAACGGTCGGTATAATAGAAAAATCATTTCTATATTTTTTTATTTACCATTTTCATATTCGTTTCAGTCGATTACCGTTTCTATATAGCTCGGCTGATAGAAGTCGAAAACGAACATCGGTCGGCCGGGAATTTCCGTTACCGTTTTCATCCCTGCTGAGGATAACTCACACACGACAGAAGCGTCACAATGGCAGTAACTATGTAGTACATATAAATAAGTTCAAGCTTATACTATATAAATTATAAATTACAAAATTATTGTGCTATAGTAGAAATTTTGATCAAAATTATTGTGATATAGTAGGATTTGAGGATTATGTGTATTGGTTCTGAAATTTGGAGCGGAGAAATAACCGGGCATTATGTTTAGGTGAAATTGAACCAAGGATTAAAATGGAGTTGCGACTATTTTCTAGCAAAATTAATCACAACTCACAAACATGTAGGCTATTATCTTCATGCGTATTTTCTAACAAAATTAGTCGCAAACCGAATAAAAATTTTCCTAAGAAAGTAGGGATTTTGCAAACTCAGAAATTTATAGGTGCTACAAATAATCTCCAAGGGTGTTATATAAACTCAAATATACATGCTATTAATTCTGAAACAAATTTGTAGTAAACATGTGCTGAGGACAGATGTAACAACAGATGTTAATCATTTAATATGACACTGAATTAGCAAAGAACTCAATCAATAGCCCTTTCAAAGATTAAAACATAAAAGGGCACTGAACAATCTGAAATTACATACAATTCTCTCAACCAACAAAAGGAGGAAGAAAAAGAAAGATACATACAGCTCTGTTTCTTCTCACCTTTCCCTACCAAATTATACCAACCATGATAAGCCTAAAAAAAATCATACATGGCATATCACAACAATGCAGAGCCTGTACAACTTCTAAGAAACAACAGCTGTTAGACTCTACAGACAATCATCATGTCATCAAATAGCAGACATGCAATCAATTTTCATCTTCGCTACTTAAACAATGTGCTCCCAAGGGTGATGATGGCGGTTCCATCACCCATAATCGTTGTCAGAGACATCTCTGTCTCAAGAATTCTGTCTAGTTCTGTCGCGACTAACCTCATCTTTGGCCTTCTTCTTGAAGATGGAGTCAGGCACTGAAAGGTGAGGCCAACAAACTCTTTCATACCTTCTGAGGTGAAATTGGCACCTAACCTTGGGTCAATTAGTTCGTTTGAACTGAAATGTCCTTCAATCTTTCAATGTGACAGGAAAATGGATGTCAGCTGGAGGTAGGATATGGAATATAATCGTGTGCAAGAAACTGCAATTCTCTTCTGAAAATGTTCTTATTTTTCCTTTTTTGAACTATATATCTCAGTTGAGGCAGGAAAGTAGCATCAAATGTCAAGGACCTCTTATGCCAAAAGGTGTGAAAAATGCTCCAATACGAATATTTCCTAACTGTTGTTGAGGAAATCCCTGGCCATGGTTTATTAATAAAGTTATAACCACGGGGGCCTCCTCTGCTGTAGGTTTGATCCACACACATACACGAAAAAAAAAAACCTGGCCCACTGCCTAACAGACAAACAGTAGCATTTACCAAACATCCATAGTTACCACTTTTTTGTTGATGTGGACATAAACAAGCTATGACAGATTATATTGGACCAATAAATAAAAAGTTATGTTCTTTTCCAAGCAACAAAAGTAAGAACCTTCACACCATCTCTATAAATACTAAGGGATGAGCCTGAACACTGGGTTTAAGATATTTGAAACACAAAGTAGAAGTTTTTAGCTTTCTTTCTTCGTAACAATAGCTAAATGTCAATGGAAATTACCCACTGGGCCAGAGATTCTCTGGAATCTGGAGATATCAGGCAAGCAGCTTCCCTTCCAGTGATCAACTCCAAAAGGAAAACTCCAAAGCTGTACACATCGCTGCTTTCAGAAAACTGTAGCACCGATTGTACCCTAAGAACAAAGATGCGTAATGAAACATCAATGACTATATGACAGAATTAGTGACTAAATCATTCCAGAACTGCAAGACTTAGTTAGAATACATGAATTGAAGATCTTTTCCTAAAACTGTGATTGACTTGTGACAAAATTATTGTACAAGTTTTTCAAATATAAATATTATAGGGTAAAGCAGTGATCAGCATATTTATTGTCTTTCGGTCCAAAAACACATCTATTATCTGACATGAAAAATAGAAGATAAAAAGATGTGGTAATTATACTTACTCAGGATCTTGGTACACACTACTACTGAACCCATGAGATGGGCTGACGTCTTCGTATCCTCTAAGTAACCTAACAAGTCCAGCATCAGCCACCTTTGCAATGAAATTTTCATCAACCAACACATTGCTTGTCTTGAAATCCTTGTGAATCAAAGGAGGCACAAGAGTATGCAGATGATTGAGACCTGCAAATAAAAAAGAATTTATAATTCACGTCAACAAAGCAATCCTTGTGACTCAGAGGAGGCTCAGGATATGCAGATGACTCAAACCAGCAAATAAAAAAAAATTATACTACTTATTACTTAATGTCTCCAAAGCAATTAGATAACTCACTTATGTTATTACCTTTAGCTGCTCCAATGGCTATTGAGAGCCTTTGTTTGAACTCAAGCCTTGTCATGGAGCTTTTCCCGGTATCTGGTAAAACGTACAAGGCTTTAGAAAGTATAGCAAGGGCACAAAAGCAAGTACCTAACTAAACATTACCATAGAGATGGCGAGAGACACTGCCATTGGGCAAGTACTCATACACTAGCATTTGTAGACCCCCTTCTTGGCAATAACCAATGAGAGTAACAATGTTCCGGTGATTAATCTCTGAAAGCTTCCTAACCTGCATTTTGCAAGGGGCACCAAAGAAGTTAATGGGAGTGCTGACATATGAGGCTGAAACAAATGCATTTACTTACCCGTCCCTATCTAATTTATGAAACTTTCTGGACTAGCAAACGACAACAATTGACACCAGACAGATCTTACTAGCTCCCAAACAAGCCATTTGACTAAAATGTTCACTCTATGCCCATAAATATGGCACACTTTAGTGAGATGCAGATGCAGTTAATTTCAGAATCCAATAGGAGTAACAGAAAGTACCACCAAACATTGAAGGAGACACCGAAAGAATCCAGACAACATACAAACACATGAGGAACAATTAAGACCAACACAGTTCAAGCTCAGGACACAGCTAAATTCCATTCTTCTATAAAAAAAAAGGAGTTCCAATCTTTCCCCCCCAACAACAATATCACCCTGATTCTGCATCCACATTTTACCTCTTCAGCGAATTCCTGCCTCGGCGCCCCAATGCGCTTCTTGATCGCGACGACGGAGCCGTCAAGGAGGAGGCCCTTGTACACCAGCCCGAAGCTGCCCAGGCCAACCAGGTTGGCCTCACTGAAGCTCTTGGTCGCCTGAGCCAGCTCGTCCAACGAGAATTGCCTCGCTCCCTGGTGCTCCGGCGCCGACGAGCTCCTGCCTCCCTTGCCCCACTCCACTGCCACCACGCACATTGGCACCACACATCAGCATCGAAATGGATGGAGGATACAAAAGGGGCCAAGAACTAAGAAACAATGGCGAACTGAGAGGCACCCAGGGTGGAAGGATCGGAGGAGCCGGTCTCGTCGGAGTTGCGGCCCCGGCGGCGGGCCATGCGCCGCGCGGCGCACCACAGCGCGGCCACGGCGGCGAGCAGGGCGACGCAGGCGGCGGCGATGCCAGCTACCTCGGCGACCGGCAGCGACATCCGGGCGGCGCCCGTGACATCGAATCGGCAAGGCCACGGTTTGTGGTCGTCGTCGTCAGAGCAAGAAGCAGCAGCAGCAGAAAACGGAGCCCCGAAACCATCCCAAGCTGCCTAAGCAGCCGGCCAATCCATCATCATCGTCATCAGCGGGCGCATTGATGGAATGCGGGGCGAGAGCGAGCAGCGAGCGATCTTTGTCCGAATCGGGAGCTAATCTATCTACCCCGCTGCCAAGAAGAAGCGGCGGCGCTTTAAAGAGGAGAGGGGAGGGGGAGTGGACCGGGGTGGAGGAGGAGGAGGAGGAGCGCCACACCCACACCCACATGGAGATGGTAAGATAGCGGGGGGTTTGTCGAAACATGGATTCGGCAATAATAAAACGGGGTAGCGCACGAGACCTAAAAGTGGATGGATGTGGAGACAAAGGATTTAGACAGGTTCAGGCCCTCTCGATGAGAGGTAATACCCTACTCCTGTTTGGGGATTTGAATCCGCCGGGTGTATTATAGATCTGACGATCTAGTTGTCTCATATATGCTCATGCCCCCTAGAGGGCCTCCTGCCCACCTTATATAGGGTGGGGGGCAGGATTACAAGATAGAAACCTTAACCAATACGGTATCGGTTTCCTAAATCTACTTTACAATATTATCAAACCAGGACTTTAGGCTGTTCCGTAATATATAAGGAAACGTAATACCCAAGTCATGATCTGTTACATATTTCATATATATAAGTTATCCCCTATAACTAGTCGGATAACCATGCCGTGTGGGTATGGGGTACCCATAATCTCCACAGTAGCCCCTGGGACCTTCACAGTCGGAAAGATAATCTTCTCTCGAACTAGATTACTCCAAAGCCGAGTGCTTCAATCATCCTCGCCATGATCTCCCGAGTACTTTTACCAAATATAAAGACTGTGGAGGGCTGAAAAATAAAGTCAGGTGCATCGACTAGATGCACCTAATAGGTGTAGCCCCCGACTATGTGGTTAATTGAACAAACCAAGCATATAGTCAAGGAATAAATAATCCAACCAACCGAGTGGTTTTAATAATTATAGTCAACCAAGCGACCTGATATTAATATGTAGCATATGCGGTGTGAATCCCTGAATAATATGATCCAAGTGATATACCGACTGCTTTGTAAAATATGATGAGTGTAACCTAAAGTTGGCTACATTATTGAAAATTCACATAGCAAAACAGCTATAAAAAAGCTTGTATGTTGTGAATAAAGAAATTTCCAAAGTATTGGGCATACGCCATGCGCACACTGCTTTAACAGATGTGCTTAAGTCCCTAGAAGACACATGGTTTCACCACACCTGGAAATATATGGCATATGTGGTGTAAAATCTGAGTAAATAAACTCATAAAGGATTTACCAACCGCCTGAAAAATGACCACAATATATAATCAGCCTAAGCCATAATATTGGTCAATAAAAATGCACACTTACGTGGCAAAAAGCAATGATATTGTATCCAATCAATTGCTTAAAAACCCAAACAGCACCTTGACTTATATATAAAAAAGTCAGCGGGACAGCTATATAAAGTTTTACTGTTTGACACCTTTTAAGATGCATTGTACCAACTCCTAAAAAGTTAAGTAACTGCGGTATAAAAGGATTTTAAGGTATTGGGCACTTGATCACGCGCACTTTGGCCTAAGCAAAAAGTGCCTAAGTCCCTAAAAGAACGTGACAGGCCACACCTGAAAATATGGGCTGCAGACATATTAGGCCTAGGCCAAAAAATATGCCTTCGACACCCTTTAAAGGATGACGCATGTAACATGCTCCCGAGTAATAAATCTTCCGGGTAGAGTAATAAATCTTCCGGGTAACATAGACCAAGTGTAGCTCATATGAATAGCTTCTGATCTGAATGATTATCCCTTATGGGATACTCCAAAATAAATATAATAATTGAATCCCGACTGGCGCAAGTATTCGGTTGATAGCCCTTACGGGGAATAATAATTGGTCCAGTCTTTGAGCATAGAAAATAGACTCATGACTATGAATCCATGTGGAATGTATCCGGAACAAGTCCAAATTGGAGATATAATCCTCACGCTTGAGTTGATGAGCCCCTGAGCATATAGCTTGTCCTTCTGTCATAGTCAAAATTGTCTATTGGCAATAGCTGACGCAGTCGGCATGGAGATGAAATGACCAACATGAAGACGAAATTGCTCATCAGAAGTAACGGAAGATGTCAGTGGTAGTAAAGATGCCACCGATCAAATGTAATGAAGTTGCATAACCATGGAGGCGAAGAAACCAGTTGGCAACAGTCAGGTCAGCTAACAGTAAAGATGTAGGCGCCCAACAACAACGAAAGAACAGTCGGTGGTGACAAAAGCAAACCGACGATGAAGACGTAGACGCGCATCAACGGTGATGGCGAAATCCACCAATCATGAAGATGAAGAAAATAATCGGCGGCGACAAACGCATCCGACGGTAATGATGATTAGCGGCAACAGAGATATCCGACTATGATGATGAAGTTTCCCATCAACGGCAGCAGAGTAGGCTATGTTGATGAGGCTTGACAAGATGTTGATGAAGATGACGATGTCGGTGATCCAGTCAATAGCGATGTAGCAGCCGATGATAACGATGAGATCCTCTATCGGCAGTTGCGTAGTAGGCCAACCGTGAAGACAAATAATTGGAGGAGAGTTGATGTTGTTGCCCAACTCGTCTAAACCGAAATATTTGAAGTTGTTGAAGTAGAATGTATGCTCCGAAGCAAAGATGAAGATAATGACTCCTGGAGTTGACTCATTGGCTGATGAATTGATTTCTTCAGCTTGACATAAAATTTGTCAAATTTTGAGCCTTGTATTTGTGTAGCCCCCCGACTCTTTGATTAGTTGGGAAACAACTGAACATAGAGTCGAGAACTGTAGCATCTTGTCGTCGAATAGTTATTGCTTGATTGAAGATATGTGTTGAAGATGTCCAAGTAGAAATCCTGAATATTGGAGAGCCACTTGTTGTAGTAAAATAACACGGCATCGCATGCCGAGATGTCGAGATTCACAACAACGTCATGGTTGGTGATGTAGCAAAACTTGTTAAGTAGCAGCAATAGAGTTTGCTGGTTCCGAAGATAATAAAGATGAAGTCGCTCCACCATGATGACAAAGTTGTGTTGCCGTGATGAAGTGAACCGGTAGTGAAGACGCGCAGTTGTGAAGATAAAAACACCAGTCGACGGCGGCATAACACGAGTCGGCGGCAGAAAACGATGATGTCCATCAGTAGTGGTAGCTGTATAAACCAGACGTAGAGGCGAGGGCACTAGTCAACAGCAGACGAGATGACCGGCGGTGAAGAAGATAAGGCTAATCAACACTGGTAGAATCATGTAGCCATGGAAGTGAAGAAACCAGTCGGCAGCCATGGCAAACGTAGGCAGCTTGTGTTGAAGATACTGATGCCTATTAGTAGTGACAGCGATGTAGCCAGCCGTGAAGAAGGTAGTATCAGTTGGCGTTATAACAGGCCAGCCGTGCAGGCGGTGACACCAGTCAGCGGCGGATGCGGCGGCCGGTCGGTGAAGACGTAGACGCCCAACAACGGCAGCATAATAGGCCAGCCGTGCAGGCGGAAACACCAGTCGGCGGCGGTCGAGGCGGCCGGTCGGTGAAGACGTAGACGCCCAACAGCGGCGGCATAAAGGCCAGCCGTGCAGGCGGAAACACCAGTCGGCGGCGGTGAAGGCAAGCCGGTCGGTGAAGACGTAGACGCCCAACACCGGCGGCATAATAGGCCAGCCGTGCAGGCGGAAACACCAGTCGGCGGCGGCGAAGGCAAGCCGGTCGGTGAAGACGTAGACGCCCAACAGCGGCGGCATAAAGGCCAGCCGTGCAGGCGGAAACACCAGTCGGCGGCGGCGAAGGCAAGCCGGTCGGTGAAGACGTAGACGCCCAACAGCGGCGGCATAAAGGCCAGCCGTGCAGACGGAAACACCAGTCGGCGGCGGACGAGGCGGCCGGTCGGTGAAGATGTAGACGCCCAACAACGGCAGCATAATAGGCCAGCCGTGCAGGCGGAAACACCAGTCGGCGGCGGTCGAGGCGGCCGGTCGGTGAAGACGTAGACGCCCAACAGCGGCGGCATAAAGGCCAGCCGTGCAGGCGGAAACACCAGTCGGCGGCGGCGAAGGCAAGCCGGTCGGTGAAGACGTAGACGCCCAACAACGGCGGCATAATAGGCCAGCCGTGCAGGCGGAAGCACCAGTCGGCGGCGGACGAGGCGGCCGGTCGGTGAAGACGTAGACGCCCAACAACGGCGGCATAAAGGCCAGCCGTGCAGGCGGAAACACCAGTCGGCGGCGGCGAAGGCAAGCCGGTCGGTGAAGACGTAGACGCCCAACAACGGCGGCATAATAGGCCAGCCGTGCAGGCGGAAGCACCAGTCGGCGGCGGACGAGGCGGCCGGTCGGTGAAGACGTAGACGCCCAACAACGGCGGCATAATAGGCCAGCCGTGCAGGCGGAAACACCAGTCGGCAGCGGCGAAGGCAAGCCGGTCGGTGAAGACGTAGACGCCCAACAACGGCGGCATAAAGGCCAGCCGTGCAGGCGGAAACACCAGTCGGCGGCGGCGAAGGCAAGCCGGTCGGTGAAGACGTAGACGTCCAACAACGGCGGCATAAAGGCCAGCCGTGCAGGCGGAAACACCAGTCGGCGGCGGCGGAGGCAAGCCGGTCGGTGAAGACGTAGACGCCCAACAGCGGCGGCATAAAGGCCAGCCGTGCAGGCGGAAACACCAGTCGGCGGCGGCGAAGGCAAGCCGGTCGGTGAAGACGTAGACGCCCAACAACGGCGGCATAATAGGCCAGCCGTGCAGGCGGAAACACCAGTCGGCGGCGGACGAGGCGGCCGGTCGGTGAAGACGTAGACGCCCAACAACGTCGGCATAATAGGCCAGCCGTGCAGGCGGAAGCACCAGTCGGCGGCGGACGAGGCGGCCGGTCGGTGAAGACGTAGACGCCCAACAACGTCGGCATAATAGGCCAGCCGTGCAGGCGGAAGCACCAGTCGGCGGCGGACGAGGCGGCCGGTCGGTGAAGACGTAGACGCCCAACAACGGCGGCATAATAGGCCAGCCGTGCAGGCGGAAGCACCAGTCGGCGGCGGACGAGGCGGCCGGTCGGTGAAGACGTAGACGCCCAACAACGGCGGCATAAAGGCCAGCCGTGCAGGCGGAAACACCAGTCGGCGGCGGCGAAGGCAAGCCGGTCGGTGAAGACGTAGACGCCCAACAACGGCGGCATAAAGGCCAGCCGTGCAGGCGGAAACAC